AGAGTATACTAAACTTTACACATTATATAGGCTACACTAACATGACATTTAGGCAGTTTATTTAACTGTTATATGTGATGTACGGTTTTGAGGGGGTGGTTAATGAAAGTGTTCCAAAACGCTACATTAATTTCGTGACGACTTAATAGTTTTAATTTTAAAATCTTCAAGGTGTTTCACTTTCTGCTTCAGATTCTTACGGTTACAATAATTTGTTTATAAACAACATTTTAATTGGGCCAAAACAAATCATAAAGGAAAACAAGAAATCAAATGGTCACTTTTAAGTAATGATACATTGCAAACAGTAGATATTTTCATGTTTATTGGAAAAGCTGTTTGTTATCCTCTTGCATATTGTCCAAATTTAGCACTTGCTGAGGGTAAGCAATATGTAGTGTTCATTATAAATAGTTTTTTGTTGAGCACAAAAGTGCACTTCTTCAACACTGATTTAAAAAAAAAAATCATAAAGGGAAACAACATGTAGTGTACATTGTAAATAAAGTCTTTCATTGACACTGAAGTGCTATCATTTTCTTCCTTTTTTAGTTTATTAAATTTATCTATGGAACCCTTAAATCTCACTGGGAGTCTTGAAAAAAATATATTGAGAGTCTAGGACTGTAGTGAGAACCCTGCGAATTAGTACTTACAGCCATGGCTAAATATATAAAAAAAAAAAATTCTCAAAATGTAAACTGTTTTGTTGGTTATTTAAATAGCACCTTAATATTCAGACTAAGTTACCTCTTTGTGAAGCAAATAAGTAGTGTCTCAACTCTGATACCAAAAAGGTTTTTTTGCATGCACCATGCCCCTTTGCATGAATTCTTGCTCTTGATGAAAGAATGTGAACTGTGCTAATCTATTATGAATGTTTATGAAATATTCCGAGGTCTAGACACTCCTCTATTGGAGTTATTTTATTGTACTTCAGTGATGACTGAAAAATGAGCAGTGTTACTGCCATTTTACATCAAGATGTTATTCATATCCTACATTCTTGGTCATGGGCCCAGAACTCACTGCCTCCTGTTTCTGTATCTTCTGCTGATCCTGTCTTGTCAGTTCTTGGTTCCTTTTCAGTAGGAAGGTTACACATTCTTCTTGTGCAGTACTCCACTTAAGCACATTATGTAAATCAAAATGTCTTTCCTTGACATGTTTAAGCATGTTACATCATTATGCATTTTATCAAAACATGTGATGTGATGTATTCTGCTTTAGTTATGACTGAGAAATGAGTTATGTCACTGCCATTGTACATCAAGATATTGCTTTTATCCAACATTCTTGGTAGAAAAAAATGGAATAAATTATAAAAAAAATTATATCTCTAATAATAATGATTTCATTTAATTCACTTTTGTGGATCTTATTGAATAAGAATTCTTGTATCCATGTTTATGAAATATTCCAAGGTCTAGACATTCCTCTATGGGAGTTATCTTATTGTGCTTCAGTGATGACTGAAAAATAAGCGATTTTACTGCCATTGTACATCAAGTTGTTGTTTCTATCCTGCATTCTTAGTCATGAACCCAGAACTTGCTTCCTTCTGTTTCTGTATCTTCTGCTGATCTTGTCTTGTCTTGGATGAAGTTAACCATCACTTTTTTTTTCTGGATCTTCTATTCCTGACAAGGATCAAGTGACCTTGCCTTTGTTTTAACCACTCTGATAATTCAGTTATATGGCATTTGTTTTTCTTACTCCAGTCATTTCTGCTGGTTCTTGGATACATTTCTTGCATGTACCTCAACACTGTTTTTGTTGTTGTTTTATCCTCCTTTATCTGGTTTTTGCATTCTTGCACATTTTTTGTCTCAACTTTTTGTCAACTCTTAAATGCAACATCTTCTTTGACCTCAAGACTACTTCTCTGTGGCCTATGGTCATAATTCTTCTTTGATAAAATTTCCATCCCTTGAATCTCTTCTACCAGCTTAGAGATTTTCTCATTCTTTGACTTTCTCTTGCCCTCATTCTACTTTACATCTTTTGCTTGCTCAATTTCTTAACTGTCTGTCTTCTTTACCTCTTCTTTCTGATGCTCTGCATCCCAATCCTGACAGCTTTCCTGTGGAAGGTCACTACAACCTTTATACATGTTGCTCTGACTTCTTCAGCATTGTTTCCCTTTCAACTTGATTTCTTTATTTCTGTGATCTGCTTCTTTGGGATGCCTTATTTTAAGGAATTTAAACTCCCCCACTTTTATCTCAGAGAACTGTTTGGCACCCTTTCTTCATGCATACATTTTTCTTAAAAGTTCCTCATCCTTTAGCCCCTTCCTGGATGTCCTCCCCTCCCATCAGACCAGTTATTGTGGGGCTTGGTTATTAGTTATTTGTAGACTCACTTTGTAGAAAGCCCAGATTTTATTTCAGGAACTTTCTTTATCCTTCAGGGCTTAGGCCTGTCTGTTTTTAACTAAATCCTGGGGCTTTCACACTGAGGATGCATTTGTTGGGTTTACATTTCCACCATTTAATGGACATTTGACATTCCCTATGAGGCATCACCTACCTTTTCCTTTGGGAGTCTACTTGTTTAGGTTGGCTGGTTAGGCTACTAAGTCACTATGACTTCCATTTAGTTTCTTGTTCACCTGGGAGTCTATCATCTCCTTTGGTGGGTGGGATTAGTTTTCCATTTTATATTTTTAAGATAGGGAGCTTCTGATTTTCATGGTTCTCATGTCTCCTTTTCTTTCTGTGCATGAGGTTTTATCCCTTTTAGTGACTAGCCTCTTTCAAGTCTTTCTCTGGACATGTCTTTTTGCATCCCCATCACTGGGCTCTAGCCTCCTAATGTGTCCTCTTAACTGCACATTCCTTTCCAAGACCTGAAAGTGATTAGATAATCCCTCTCACCACTCTCTTCAATTTCATCTCTACATGATAGTTCAGAACTCTGTCATCTCATTTGTCCAGTGTGGCAATACATTGTTACCTCATTTGCACAGCTCCATTTAGAAGCAGTAAAAAATCTTCTAAATTTTGTCTTTTTAATGTCACCCGTCATCAAGTTTGTCATCACATGGCTTCTCTTTGACTCTGGTTATTAATATCCCCTGGATAAAATCTTTCAGGAGGGAGATTTGGACACCACAGACAGTATTGTTTCACATTACTTATTTCACTTAGTGGTCTTGTCAGTATCTGGGTTTCTTTGTTTTTCAGTCATCATTCTCCATTTTTCCAAGAGGCTCTATATAGGGGGGTTGTTCATACAACAGTAATATGGAGAGTTTCGCTTTGGATGGTGTAATCACACTGGCATGAGACAGTCAATGACCTGAAGTTGGAAAAGGGCAAAGTAATGATTGTACATGCCAACATTAACAGTAAAAAACTGGACCATTTCCAGTGGTTGTAACCAGCTAGGTAGATTGCTAGTTCTTTGAATATTCTTGTAAGTATTTATCATATACTGTACAGCTTGACATATTGCTGTAGTCGCATCTCATTTATATTGTCTGCTATATGAGTAACCTTCACATTCAGCCCACCTTTGTGACACTTTAGTAAAAAATAAATAGGAGGTTCTTTTGAGATAAACTTTTTGACTAACTACTTTGTATTGGGTGAAAATTATTTCCTGGCAGAGATGGATGCAGTTTCTCACCAAGTTATGTTTCTCACTGGCGACCCCCCCCCACCCCCCCACCACACACACACACACTGAAGTTTTCATTTCTGCCACTATTTTCAGAAAGGAGCTTATCCTTTTCAGTATGGGATTCTGACTATTTGTTTTTGGGAGTGGCGGGTTTGTATCTACAATACATTTTCAAGTAAGGAAAATGTTAACTTCACACTACATTACTTGTCTCTCCACAGGACCACCTACCCTACCTCTACACTTCCAGTGTGTAATTGCCTTGTCAGGAAAGAGTTTTGATTTACACAAGAACAATGTGTTGCCCTCATATTGTTAGAAAGATATATTCTTTTGTTGACTGCATCATAGAATAACTTAGTTCACGTCATTACGTGTAGAGTGAGAGCTTATTAAAAGTCTTGATGCATCTGAAAAAACATTTTACACATCAGTATACTGAAGCACTAGTTATTAGTTCTTGGGAGAGATGAATGTGTATATCAAATACATTTTCAGGTAAGGAAAATGCTAACTTTTAAGACTTATTTATATACATTATTAATATAATAATAGTATTAAAAAGATGTGTTTTATATTAACATTTTGCATGATAATTTTTATTAATTCATTCAAATGTGTGTTGCCATATTGGTAAAAGGCTGACTTAAACCATCATGTGAATAACTAAGTTGAAGTAAACAAGCTCATGAGGAAAAATTTACTAAATTATGTTTGTTTTTCTGTATTATAGCATGTTCAAAGGTAAAATATTAAATTACAAATTTTGTTTGATGTAAACACTGAAGTTTATAATTAGGCTATAAGTTTAGAAAAAATGCACTGTTGTTTTTAATTTTTTTACGTAGATATTAAGTAGATAATATTCTAATTTTTTGTGTGGGGAGAGGGTGGTTGTAAAATAATGTGTACAATAATCATTTATGAAAGTTATGATACAGTGTTAGAAATCCATGCTAAACGTTTTAAACTGGAATTATGTTTTGATTTAAAATATTTTATGAATTAATAATATATTTTAACAATTTTGATTTTGGAAATTTGCTCATTATTTGCCTGCTTTTCTTCTTTGTAAGGTTAGAAAGAGGACACATCACTTGTTGATGGAGTTGTTTCTGAGGGCGGGAGGAGAATATTGCCAGGCACAACACAAGTAAACTAGCTGTCTATGCTGATTTTGTAGTACAAGTAGTCCATTCTGCTTGTGGTAGCTGTATGGGGTAAATAGTGGACTAAAGCCTCAGCACATGAGCAAGAAAGGGAGACCTGGTGCTGAAAGGGGAGGTTGTGATCATTAAGAAAGTTGAGAGTATTTGATTCATACTGTTTAGTGTTTTTACTTCTGGTGATAATCTGAGATTTGATTTATTTTATTCATCTTCTGAATTTTTATTTTTAATTCCAAGCAACGGCTAGTTTCTTTATTTTCTGTTGTGTAATGGACATTATGAAACAAAAAACAATGCGGCCAGCACCATCAGAGATTACCTACAAGAATATGCGATTTCTTATTATGGATCGACCAACAGATTCGACTATTCCCAGTTTCTTGGAGGTAAGTCTGTTTAATTCTTTGCCTATACAAATTGCATGTATTTGACCTGAGGTAAACCTCAAACTGATAAATAAGTCATGAAGATCTACATTGAAACATTTTTACTTATATATTGTGCATCTACAAAGAGCTTTGGTTGGTACTCTATACTAATAAAGATTCTGTCAAATGTTTGACTTGAGAGCTCTTATCCTTGTCATTCAGTCGTTACTTTTGTCATATAATGAAGTTCTTAAAACAAATAGTCATTTTTTCTTTCTCATCAAGTATGTTTGGAAATGGCATGCTCTTTCAAGATGTTAGACCACATTAAATGTAGTATTTTATGGCTTTAATACATGAGGTGGTCAGATTAAATATATGGAAAGTAAATGTTATACACTAAATAGTAATGGGTTTCATGTTTACTGTAAACAGAACCTGTCAGCGACATATGTTGATGATTCATATCGGATTTATGATATGTTTTTACTGTCTTTGACTTCTCAGAATCTGGCACCTTGATATTGTAGTAAACAGTTCACTAGGGAAGCAAATGTAAGATTGAGAAGTAGTAAAATGTACAAAATCTAAAGGACGGAGCTCTCTCTATTTGTTTGATCAACATAAATTATACTTATTTTAAAAATGAAGCCTGTATGGTCTGACCCCTGCATGTTTGAAGAAGCAGGGCTGCATATTTTATGCACCTCAGTATTTACATTATATAGATAGTACTTACTTGAATAATGATAGCAATGTAGTGCTTGCTATAGATTGGAAGTAAAAGTTCTCTGCTTATTGCACCAGTTTTAAATATAATGACCAGACATTAATTTTTCTATACTTCAAGATATCATTGTTGCAAAAATAGGTGATTGAGTTCATTAAAAACAATAGGATATACATAGTGTAAAAAGAAGCACAATTGTAAATTAGGGCTGTAAATGAAGTCCAATTTAACCAAAAGTTACCAGAGAAGGTATTATTTCAGCCTGCTTCCAATCTGATCTAAAGAATTCCCAATGTTGTTTGATCAAACTTGTATGAAAATACCCAATGCATTTAGGTGCCTTCATGATGGAGAGAGAATACAGGATATTCCAAAATGAAGTCAATCACCAAAATACCTTTATTTCTGGTAGTCATAACTATTACTAGGTTCAAACCCTCCCCCCTCCTGTTTTTGTTGCAGGGAGTTTTGTCATAGGGTTTACATTAATGAAGAAATACTAAGTGGACATGATTTACATTTTGCAGTTGACTTAAGGTCCTTGGGCCAACATTCCACTAGCATGTGTCAGTATGTTTTTTTTTCTGATGGTTTTTCGATTGTTAGTCTAATAACATGACACATTACATATCTATTTCAAAATATATTCACATTTGTGAAGTACCTATAGTTACAATCTGAGTCTGGATGTACTATATTTCCCTTTCATAATGCATGTTTTTTCCCTTCACTTGTTTAAAGATTTACAGGAAAATATATGTAAGAGTAGTAGTTCTTCAATTTCATATATATATACTCTTGTATTGTATTCATTTGAAAATGTGTCCTTTTTGTAGTCTCACAAGTGTACGACTTACTTGAGCTTTAAAGCTTGGTGCATGTCACTAGCATATATATATATATATATATATATATATATATATAGGACATACAGAACACACAGATGCGGGTTGTCAAAATCCATTCTCGATATCGGCCAATCTTGGGCACGTCAGCACTGATCCAATATTTCACTCGGGTTGCAGACTTAAGCGTTATTATCAGTCACATTTTTTTAACATTCTTGATTGATTAAACATATGCTTTAGATAAAGTGTCAGGCAAACAAATAAATAATGATAAAAAAATCTATGAAAAGCTACTCTACAGAACTTGAAGCTATTATCTAATGCCACTGCCAATAAATGTTTGTAAATATACCAAATCTTTAAATGAAACTCCCACACCTACATGTAATAATGTGTACTGCAGCAGTCTATGATGCATTTGGCATTAGAAAATAACCCTCCTCCATGTGCAGTACTCCCCTTGAGCATGTTGTGTTTACCAAAGGCTCATTTTTTCCTCTGCACTGCAGTGATTCAAACATGTTTTTTCATAATGAAGTACAGAACTTTTGAACTTATTATTTTCAAGTATTAGTTAACAATCAAAGTGTTATCCTTATTTTTTTTCCAGAACAATAATACAATTTTTTCAACTTTCAGTTACTTTCTGATATGAATTATTTGTTTTTACAATAATTTACATTATAAGGTTTGAGGACATTTTACAGGACTATTCCCTATTGTTATTATTGTTCCAGTGTTCAGGTTTTGATACTTAATTTCAATTTTCTTCAATATGAAAATGACCTAAGCCTACATACCAGATCTACTTTGAAGATAGAAATAAATTATAATCATCATATTATTACTTTCTTTGAATTCAGTTTTGTCAATTTTATTGAATATGATTTCTGACATATCTGAAACCTCCCGAGTTCTAGACTCTCCTTTTTAGGAGTTGTCTTATTTATATTCAGTGGTGACTAGAGTTCCTCAGATGGCAAACACTGTTGGTTCACCTCAATCAAGGACTTGTGGCCTTCTGAGACTATCTTGTCTTTGGACATCTTTGTCCAGCTCATCTCACATTGTTTTGTTTTTTCTGGCTCTTTTATCTTTAATGAGGATCAGGTAGCACCCACCTTTGTCATTCACTTCATTTATTTTCTGCTGGTTCTCAGGCGAGCTTCTTAAATGCACTTCAACTCATAAGATTTGTTTTCCTCTTCCTCTCTCACCTGATTGTTACACTTCTTAGATTCTTTCAGTCTGTGCTTCATATTGAATCTATTGCCATGTCCTTCCTGAACTAAAGATTCCTTCTCTGTGGTTAAAATTCTTCATTTCTAATGACAATATTCCTTAAATTTCTTCTCAAGGCTTTGGGATTTTCTTCTTCTTGTACCTTGATACCTGGAATCTCCTCTTCATTATTTACTTGCCCATCTTCTTAGCTTGCTATCCTTTTCTGAAGCTCTGCATAACTACCTTATCAGCTTTACTAACCTGTTCTTCAGAAACTTTTGCCCAAGTCATTTTCTTTTATTCTGGGATTTGCTTCACAGGAATACCTTGTTTTACTGAAGTTAGACACTTCCCCAGTTTTATCTCGGGGGATTTAACTTGACACCCTTCCCTTATACATACCTTTTGGGGAGTTCCTCATCCTGTGGTCCCTTTCTTGTGTTTTCCTTACCAAGAGGCCAGTCATTATAGGGCTCAGTGATCAGTTGGTTCTTGAATCTCACCTAAACTTTGGTACTGTATTTGTTAGTTCTGTATTTCCATCACCACATGGACATTTGTTAACTTCTAGTCATGTTGTGGATAACATTGTCTGCTATGATCTCTCTTCTTTTTTGGGAGTTTACTTATTTGGGTTGGTTGGTAAGTCTCCTAAAGCATTCAGTATCTGATTCATTTGGAAGTGTACCACCTCATTTACTGGGTGTCATCAACCTTTTTCTTTACACTTGTGAGATATGGAGCGTCTGGCTTCTAAGGCTTTCATATCCCCTTTCTTCCTATGCATGAGATTCTGACAGATAAGCACAATATACCCATGATCTTTTCTTTACCTCTATCTTCCTTCTTAGATTATAGTGGCTGAAACATTGCCATCTGATCTTACATCTATTTGCAAGTAGCCTTTCTATCTAGGTAGAGTGCAGTTCTGGATATCTTTACCCTTTTTAGTGTTTGGTATCCTGCTGAGCAGTCTTTCCACATCATTGCACTTGGAATGTGTGTAGTTCAATGGACCTACCATCATCTTATGTTACAACCTTCTGGACATCCATTGTCATTTTGTACATCGACTGACAGAGAAGTACTCATTCTTGGAATCTCAGACCCAGGCTCTGTGGCCCTAGTGGTATTCTCTCTTGAGTCTGGATTGATCTGCCCTACTTCTGAATACCACTCCTCCACTTCTTCTCAGTTCACTGCACCCATTACCAGGTTCTTCTTCTTGTTCCTTTTTTCCAGCTCATTCATAGTCTTAGTGAGCCTGGACTTTTATCTCTTTCATTTTAGAGATCCATCTTTATTTCACCCTCTAATGTCCATTGTACACCAAGATGTTCCACACCATCTTCTCATATGGCTTTTATCTGGTCCCTTGCAAGATAGGCAGGTTTTTCTTGCTCATTCTTGTCAGCTATCCACCTCTTGCAGTTTATTACCACTGCTGGATGATTTATTGATGCTGGTCTGTTTGCCACTATTTTCCTCCTTCCTCATCTCATTTCCTTTTTTACCTGTCTTTCAAGGGCAGTCTATCCATTTCCATGATCAGTGGTTACAGTACAGCTTTGTTGGAGATCTTCATTTTGTGTCCCATGGCATTCTCTTTCTCTAGTTCTTGCAGACTTATCACAAGCCTTTCTAATCAGTCATCCTCCACATTGCAGTTTCTTCCACCTCTGGTTTTGTTTCCCCTCCATTCTTCAATCTTCCCAGAGGTGCCAAAGAGTTGGGTTTTTGATTATTTCTTTTTCTCGCATATTTCCCCTACACTCTCACCCCTCTCAAAAAAAAAAAAAACCCTCAAGGAGGCAATGGAATGCATCTTGTGGCTAGTGTTACTTTACAGGGAATACTTTTCTCACAAATTCCACAATGGAAAGTATTAACCACATCAGCACTCATTGTTAAGATGGAGTTTTGTGCAAGCTGCTTCAAGTCCATATATCAGGAAAACAAGATACCAACAGATATGTATCTGCCCTCGCACCTGGCTAGCATCTTCTATTCTGTTTTTGGTAATCCATTACACAGTCTGTCAGTGTGGGACATTATGCAGACGCGATGATTCCTGTTTGGTCCACACATCTCTTCAGCATCCTCCCATACACAACCCCCCCCCCTGTCTTCTATAGGAGTTATGGCTGAACCCTTGTTTCCCTATTTCCAAGCCACTGGGGAGGTTAATATGGAGGGTTACTCTTTGGATCAGTGTA